TCAGCCTGGCAAGGTCATCAACCTGCAGAAGTCAATGTGCTCTGCGCTTCTCCCAAGATCTCCCTCCCACCTGTGACTGTACAGTGGCTGAGCGCTGTAGATGGCTACTGTCGCTGGGGGAAACAATGGCATTGTGACGTAATGTGGTACCAGCTGATGTCATAGGGTACCTCTTAGCCAATAGCAATTGCAGATTTAAATTCAATTGCAGTGCAGAGTTTCAACGTGAAGACGGTGCAACACTGACAGTTTTAGGCAGAATGCTTAAATTTTAACTAAGAGGCACTAAAGTGCCAAATTATTGGTCACACGTGTCTACAGCACGTTTAGGTGATTTGGGGGTGACTTGCTCTTTAATGCAGAATGCCATCTGAATAACAGCTTTACTTCAGCTGCCTGGGCTGCTGGTCCATGGATATGTAACACAGCATCCTTCAAACCAATGAGTGTTTAAGATGTAATTCACACTAAACTCTGCTAGATTAGGGGTCTGATGGAAGATCTTGGACAACACTTTGATGTGTGTCTTGTAACAGTGCGACCTTGTGATTGTGTTGCCATAGAAACCTGTCTGTATAAAAAAATGTCAGCCTTATGGGGAACAACACCAATATGTGCTTTGCTTATGGTCCAGTCATCAACAGATGTCCCCTTGTCACTGTTTACTGAGCGGAAACGAGCTGTGATCAGAGAACTGCTGCTGCTGTGAGGCAGTTTGTCTTTACAAAGCAAACTTAGTGAATTGTACCCATATCATATTAGTTATTTGTAATATTATTGCAATAAGAACAATGCATACAGCTCATCGAACAAATACACTCACCAGTCACATTACCAGGTATACCTGTACAACATTTTTTATATAAATATCTAATCAGCTGACAGGATTTATTCATTTTAACGACCTGCTGAAAATCTAACTGATCATCAGAATGGAGAAAAAAATCTAATTTAAGGAACGTTGAATGTGACGTGATAGTTGGTACCAGACGGGTTGGTCTTATCTACTAGGATACAAATCCACAACCATCTCAGAGAACGGTCAGGTTGGTTCTAGATGGCAACAGCAGCTAAAATAACCACCAAAAGCTGCTGAATAGCATCCTTGAACACCTGACTCTGATGGGCTCCAACAGCTGAAGACCACACCTGGTGTCATTCCTCTTGGCAAAGGCCTGGTTCGCTAGGTAGGATATTTAAATAGTTGGGTTTGGTTGAATACACTGTGGTTTGCGGGCACACAGCAAAAACTACACACTACACGTTAACAGTTTCACACATGATCATTCCCTGCTCCAACAACAAAACATCTGATCAGACGTGACTTGGAGTAAACAAATATAGTGGAGGAGGAGCATTGCAGCACACTTCTGTCACCTCACTTTCTGATTGACAACATAACATTAAACAAGCAACAGCTTGTTTGTTCTTGAAAAATCTATCAAGTCAATCCAATATGCTCTGATCAGAGCATCCCTGGAAGCTTCTAAGCACACTCAACACAACACATACGGCATGAATATAAAATAATTTTTAAAGCACACCCTTAAGGTTGTCAGAATGAGAGGATCGGATCAAAAATCAACAAGAATATCTTGCCATGTGAATCAGGCCTATGAACAGCTGGCTTTAAATCACACAGGATCACCAGAACTGGACCAAAAGGGACTGGAAAACCATTTTTGTCAGTTTTCAAAGGGCACTAATCAGAGTAACTCGGACTAGTGCAGCTCAGCCCGACCACGTCTTCCAAGAGCACGGTTCTGTGATTTCCCTTAACTTTTTCAAAAATGTAGTCCCTGCTCCGTTGAGGTTCCTGGCAAGGCTGAGTCGGGCCAGCAACTGTGGCTGCTGGTTGGCTAGGGGGTGGAGTCACTGGTTGCTCCGGTGTTTTCTGCCTGCTGCTTCACTGCCTGCGGCCATTTCCTGGTTCAGAGTCTGACAAAGAGTCAGAAAACTGAGCACAATGTCCAACAACACCATTTTCCTGCCGAGTTGTGTTCCTGTGGAACATACAGGATACCTTGCACTGTTTACTGACCACCTCATGCAATTTTTGTGTGGAGAAAAGATCCCCGCCCCCGAGGCGAGTGCCACAGGTGAGCATGTTCATCCCTTTATGACCACAGTGTACCCATCTTCTGACTTCCAGCAGGATAATGCGCCGTGTCACAAAGCTCAGATAATCTCAAACTGGTTTCCAGAACATGACCATGAGTTCACCGGACTCCAACAACTTCCACAGTCACCAGATCTCAGTCCAGTCCAGAACCTTTGGGATGGGGTGATGAGGGTCTCATCATGGATGGAGCTGATGCCGTCATGTCAAATCATTAGGAACTCTGACTCTATGATGGAGGCCTGCTGCTACTCCATTTAAACAGATTTGACGTACAGGAGTAGCTGTGCCTCATCACAATGATCAGATTATCTGAGTACCCCTCTTCTCGCTGAAACCTGTCTGAACTACTTGTTCTCATGGTTACACAGTAGGACTCTGAATGTAATTCATTCCTAGCATTTGTCATGGTTATTATCACCCAGGCATCTCTCCTCTTGGGGATTTAAAAGTTTAGTGAGGATCAGTTTGAGGCAACATGAGCTCACCGTGGAATGTGCAGCTCACTCCAAGTTGACATTTGAGGAGAGTTTGTGGTTCCCCTGGAAAAATGTATCATTGCTGTGCCACTTATATGTGAAAGTACACAGTCAACATAGGTTGTGCAGTTTTCCTCTTAACGCTCACATAACATTAGCCTGAAATTGTAGATTCAAATCTGGTGAGTAGGACAGAGGAGGACTGTGTTCATGTCCAATCAGGTGAGTTCTCATTTGAGTCTTAGTGAAGTGAGCTGGGTAATTATATTGTAATAATGTTCTAACAGGGCACAGAGAAGTTGAGGGACAAAACCCAAACAGAGCTGAGTAAAACTGCTCCTGAAGCTTCAAATGATGCATTTTTTCACTTATAAGAAATTAGTTAGATCATTAGTTAACTGGTAAAAGAGAAACGTGTGGTTTTAATTAGGTTGTTGGTGTGTAACCATTCCCATTGTCAGCTTTACAAAATAAAGTGAGTTGTGGTTATTTATTTATTTGCTTTGCTTTTTACAAAAGTTTCACCTACGTTTTCCTTTGGGTTAAGTTATGATAAACTAAGATGAGATAAAACCAGGCTAACTTGAAATGAACTGTTAAGAAATAAAGAAAGAAAACAATCTTTTATATACCGCCACTCGAGATAACATTTAAAATCCATCCATTTTCTGAACCCGCTTGTCCACGTAGGGTTGTGGGGGGGAGCTGGTGCCTATCTCCAGCGGCCAATGGGCAATCAGGCGTACCCCGCCTTAGTACCATACCTTAGTAATCAGACTGACAGAGTGCCAGTCCATCGCAGTACAATTTAAAATATACAAAAGATTTTAAAATATATTTAAAATGACAAATAAGAAAAATTGTGACTAAAAATGTAAGGAAAGGGAGAGAGAAAATTAATAGGAAAGAGGGAAATCGGTGGATCCGGGGATAGGCGGAATGGGTAGAAAGAGCGAAAGAGAGAGTGTTGTGTAAGTTAGTATATTAATAAATATCAATTCCTAACTGGTTGGTTTCTATTAATTTAGAAGATTTTTGTGAACTCTGATGCTAGGGAAGGTGGTTTTCCTATTTAGATTTTCTTCCGAAGTTTATTTGACAAAGTTTAATGATTTTATTATTTTTAAGCGGAGTGTCTTCCATAGAGCAGCTGGCATCTTTTCACTTCAAGCTTCTGCAGTCTGACTTTTTCCTTCAAATTAAAAGCACAAGAGTTTGTTGTATGTTGATCATTTAAAATTATGCACACAAAAAAAGGTATGAAATATTTAATCAATTATGTTTATTATAATGATGTCATGCATTAAGTATTCCAAATAATTTTATTAAAGTAAGTGAGGTTTCACATTACCAGGAATTTGCTTCAATGGAATTTTGCATTTATACAAAATAAAGCGGGTGACATAAACAGATAACAACATTAAGAAGTAATAAGAAATGGCAGTAAATCATAAACAAAAAGTGACAAGACCTGGGGCCTCATTTATCAAGCTTGCTTATGCACAAAACGGGGTCGGAAAACTGCGTAAGCAACTTTCCATTCAAACTTTAGAATTTAGAAAAGAAAACTTAGCTGAAAAATGTGCGCAACTTTAAGTTGAATAAGGACTTGGTTTACGCACATGTTGGACATGGAGAGCACCTGCAGTGCTGCTGCTGAGAAGGATACAATTATGAATTCCAGCAGCATTATCACTTGTTAGTTACTTCTTGCTGAAAACTCTACCAGCAGATGGGAAGAAGCGAGAGTATCCAGTCTGAATAGAACTTAGAGAGATATTCCACCCAAAATTCAAGTTTTGACATAGTTCTGTTGCCATATTTCCCAGCATTAAATAAGTGGGAAAAAACAACCAGCCCAGTCATTTTCCTGACCTAGCTGTACTTTTTTAGCTTTAGCTTTGCATAAAAAACAGTAAGTGAATGGATCCAACTAGCATTGTGAGTAAAAAGGTGCTTAAAATCATTCAACTGTAAACCCAATTCTGCAGGGTGACCATAGTAATCAGACTGACTGCAAGTAAAAGTAATTAGTAACTTAAAGAAATTGCAGGCGCCATTTTAGACTTGGGACAAAGCTGTAAGCCTTCACTGAAAAGTGCAAGGCAGCCCCAACGACACCTGCTTCTGTAAACATGGATGTACACATTGTTAGTGTTGTTAGAGAATGACTGGGCTGGGTAAACATTGTTTTTTCCCACTTACCTAACTCTGGGAAATATGTCAACAGACAAAATTGAAATTCTGCCTGAAGGAAGACAGTAATGTTTGAACTTGTGATGGATTGTGTGGTTTGATTGTCATAATCTTTGCTTTGTTTTCTTCAGTGACAGCTGGGATGTATCATGGCTTCTAAATGTGGAGCAGGTAAATGATCAGAGCTGTCTCTCTGTCATCCCCAGAAATTGCTCGGCAGCCACGAACCTTCATCTGTTCAGCTCTGGGTGTCCTACAACCGCCAGCCAATGAAAGCAGCTCAGTTTATGACTCGACATCCAATCACAGTGAGTGTTTTCAGCAGCATCCTCTCCTAGCTAGTCTACATCTATGTTCAACACTCTATTGCAACTGAAAGACATTAACATTTATGTTATTGTGGCTGATAGCTTAGCTGAAAATGTGCTATTTTATTGATACACACAATGTATTTAAAGTGTTTCACCTTATTGATGTTTCACCCATTTATTTTGCTTTCTAAGTCTTTCTCAGTGCAATTAGGCTTTTTTTCCAAACTAATTTGCATGAAGAAACATATTTATTTCTAAGTGTTTTACTGAAGTTTAACTAAATTTCATTGAAAAATCCAAAAGGTAATGAATGTATAATTTCTCGTCCCAGACTTGGCTATTTTTATGCTACAATCACTTAACATACACTCAGGTGTAATTCATTAATTGTGACTCTACTGGTGTCTGCTAACTGGCCCTCAGTTGAAATAGGTATGTCACTTTTAATGGGGGTGAAAATGTATGCCCACACTTATCTTCCTTCATATATTTTTTATTCATTTTCATAAGTTAGCAAAAAAGTTTTAACACTGAGATATCAAACTTGATATGATGATGATTACAAAATTTAAAAGGCCAGTTTGACCGTGGTTTAAAAAGCAATAAAAGGGTGAAACGTACAAGGAGAATATTTGTTGTGAACCCCCTCCTGATAGCTGCCATGGCCTAATTTTACACATCCTTTGTTCAATGTTTGCTGGCTTTAAGTCTACCGAGTGCAAAAAAAGATATGAAGATATCATTTGGTGTTTTCAGACTAGGAACCTTCTACGGCTGCACAATATATAGAAAAATTATCGTCATCGGGATAACAGGACGTGCGATAGGCCCATCGCAAAGCACGCCAAAAACGGCGATAAATGTTTGGTTCAAACATTTCCATCCGTGTCATACATCAACTTTTTGTAAACCAGCTCTGTTTTTTACGCGGAAGTATTATTTGACCAATCAAATGTAGCCCTTCTGATATGCGGCCAATCAGACCCATAGGATGGATAGCATCACCTGAACTTAGCGGCGCTGTTCCCTGGTTCGTCATGCTGGCTCAGAGCAGCAAACGCACTATGTGCTGAGGTTTCTGGATTCAGCGCTGCTTTCAAACGTGAACGTGAGTCCGCTCGGTGTCTTTAATCAGTTTTACCGGGCTGACTCCGACACGTGCCGGTGAACCAACCCACCTCCCTCCATGTCGCTAGTGTTCCACCAGGTGGTGGCTCCGGCTAGCTTCCAGCTAAAAGGCTACAGCACTCTCCTCCCAGTCCCACCCTGCTAAAGAGGGCCTGTAAAAGTTCCCCCACACATCAAAGTGATTTTTCATTTATGAGCTTTTATAACCTTGTTAATCAGGATAGTTGATTTGCTGCTGCACATTATCTGTCAGTCAGAAGCTCTGCTAGCCAGTTATCTTAAGAGAAGCTAGTTCAATTTGTTAGCTTGTTATCAGAATCATAGTTGCAGTTTCATCATCTGAGCTGCTTTTTAAGATCTAGGTAAACTTGATCAATTTGGGGTTAAAAACAAACGTTTTCACATATTTTCCATGTAGTTTTTTGCCCGTTCCTCTTCTGAAAGGTAGACAATTGTTTTTCTCTTTCCCTCAGAAAATCTTAATATTCTCCTAGTTTGGCCCAGCACAGTTCACTTCCCAATTGCAGCAACAGCCTTATATCATAACCACATAAGTGGAGAAAATGTTCAGTAGCAATGAGAGGATTTGCTGTTGCATTAAAGTGATGTTAACTATTATTTAACATTTAAACTTACTTTCTGATTATTTATTTATTTATTCAGAAAACCCTGGTAAGGGACATTTTTCTGTATTTGGAGCATCAGAAAAAGTTTTATAGTGGAGGTGATGTTTTAAAGTCACTGAGAAACTGCATACATGCAGTTTGTTGTTTTGCTGCTAATACAGTAGCAGGTGCAGCTGCATATGTTTTCAGTAAAAATGTTATGCTGTAATGGAATTCATGCATTAGTTTTTGTTTGCTTTGAACCCAGAGCAGACGTCACACTCCAGACGACATCAACACTGCATACTTTAGTATTTGTTCATTTATCGTGAGTAATATTGATATCGCAATATTAAGCACTGTTTTCCTAATATCGCAGGTTTTCCTAATATCGTGCAGCCCTAGAACCTTCCTACCAGTGAGATGTGGTGATAAGTGATACATGACTTGTATAGCACCTTTCTGAGTCAGAGGACTACAAAGGCCTCCATCACCCACTGGGAGAGCCTTTGTGTGGACAGAGCTTTACCTCTGGCTGGAATGGCAAAACACACAAACAACTGATCACACAACCTCATATTCTGAGTATGGTTCATGTAGACGAACGGTGCACGTACCAGGCACAAAAAATTAAGCCTATCTTGTTCTGGTGAAGAAAACAGAGGTGGACAAAAACTAGCCAACTCGATGATCATGGAGCTGTAGCTAGATGGAATCACTTTGGGAGATAAGAGGCATTAGGCCACAACGTGACCTTTGAACCATCAGCAGCAAATTGCTCACACGAAGGGTGCACCGAAAGGACATGCAGGTCCCCAACACGTTTAGCAGATGCCAATGCAAGAAGCATAGCCGTCTTATATGATTAAACCTTCATATCAATCGACTCAAGTGGTAAAAATGGTGCACCACAAAGAGCTGTCAGCACTACAGCTAGGTCCCTGGAAGAAACGCTTTGTTTGATTCTAGGACTCAGTCTGCAGAACCTCTTCAGAAAATGAACAGCCAGGGGGTGTGCTGCCGGCGTCACCCCATCAATGCCAACATGACAAGCAGAAATAGCTGCCATGTGAACTTTGATTGTGGAGAAAGATGGTTCTCCCTCCAACAGCTCCAGTAAGAATGTCAACACGTCTACAATGGGGCTCTGGAGCATAGCAATATTCCTGTTTTGACATCACTGATCAAAAGCCCACCATTTAAGGCATATAGGCTTCTAGTGGAAGGTGTTCTAGCACGCTGAATCGTCTCAACCACAGCCAAGGGGAGGCCACTGGCTAACAGGCTGGACGTTTCAGCAGGTAGACCTGTAACATCCACAGCTCTGGGTGTGGATGAAGTATCTCCCTCCGCCTGCGAGAGGTCAGGACAGGGAGGAAGCTTCCAGGGCTCCTCCACCAGTAAGCTGATGATCTCTGCATACCATGACTTCACTGGCCAGTGAGGGGCCACTAGAATCAAGGATAGGCTCTGTTTCTATACCTTCCCCAGTACTGGTGGTATCATGTCCACCGGCGGAAATGCAAATAGAAATACATTGGGCCACCAGTGAATCAGCGCATCTACCCCCAGAGGAGCATTCTGATCCGTTATCCAAAATAACAAGTGGCAGTGAGTGTTGTCTTCAGTCGCAAATAGATCTACAGTTGCTGTTCTGAATCGTTGCCAGATCTGAACTAGTGGGTGTAGCCTCCACTCCTTCACCACTGGGCTTCCCCTGACCAACAAGTCTGCTCCCAGATTCAGGCTCCCCAGTACAGAAGTCGCTCTGATAGACAGAAGCCAAATGCTGCACCACTGGAGCGAAATTAAATCTTACCTGAAACTGCTGGCTAAGGATAAGCGTAAATACAGTAAGATTGTTATTCACGCTGGCTGTAACGACACCCGGTTACACAATCGGATGTCACTAAAATTAATGTTGCTTTGGCGTGTAAGTTTGCCAAAACAATGTCGGACTCCGTAATTTCCTCTGGCTGCCTGCCTGATCGGACCAGTGACAACATGTTTAGCCGCATGCTGTCCTTTAACCGCTGGTTGTCTGGGTGGTGTCCTGAAAACAATGGGGGCTAACAACAACAATAACAACAACTTGACATCAATCATAGAGAGGAGGGAACAAGGAGTGGACAGTTGAGTGGGGGGGAGGGGGGGTGCAGGGAGGGTGCTAGTTAAGAAGATGCTCTCTGAAACTTTTTGAGGAAAACCTGGTCTGATGCGAAGAGACGGCACCCATCCCTCTTTGGATGGAGCAGCTCTTCTGTCTAGGAACATGGCCAGTTTTATTAGTCTTCCATGACAACCCAGGGTCCAGACCAGGAAGCAGAGTCGTAGTTTAACATCCCCCTCTGCAGCTGGAGTTACCCACCCACTACCCCATAGAGACGGTGTCCTGCCCACGGCCAAAATCACAGATTAAATATCAGGCTTAATAAAGCAAATCATGGAAATCGCATAACTATTAGAACAAATTCAATAGAGCAGAAAACTAGAAAAATTAAATGTGGGTTATTAAACATTAGATCTATTTTTTCTAAGACTTTGTTAGTTAATGACTTGATTTGTGATAATCAGATCTCTTTGCTCTCTCACACAGAATCCTGTATGCAGCAAGAGGACTATGTTAGTTTAAATGAGTCGACTCCTTTTAATTATTTAAATCATATTGCTCGAAGTACAGGGCGAGGAGGAGTAGCAACCATTTTTCATTCAGACCTATTAATCAATCCCTTACCAATTTAATAGCTACAGTTCTTTTGAACATCTTATTCTTAGTTTTCCTAATCCAGATTGCAAAACTGTAAAACCACTCTTGTTTGTAGTTTTATATCGTCCACCAGGCCCTTACTCTGAGTTTTTGGAGCAGATCTCTGTTTTTTTCTCTGATTTGGTGCTAAATACTGATAAGGTCATTATAGTGGGGGATCTTAACATTCATGTGGACATTGAAAGTGATAGCCTCAATGTAGCCTTTAGTAATATCCTAGACTCAATTGGTTTTACCCAAAGAATACATAGCTCCGCCCACTCCACACTGCCATCATACATTAGACCTTGTGCTGACTTATGACACAGAGTGTGAGGAAATAACAATCTTTCCACATAATCCAGTCCTCTCAGACCACCTTTTGATAACCTTTGAGTTTTTTATAACTGAGTTCTTGAGACATGAAAGTAAATGTCACTATAGTCGGTCTCTATCTGACAACGCTGTTGCATCTTTTAAATCAACTGTTCCATCTTTACTGTCCTCTGCATCTCAGA